AATCATTCTACGTTTTCTGGGCTGGAGGAAAGAGGAAAAGAGAGAGAGATGGCAGAGTGCAGTGTTCCTTCGCAGGCAGCTGCCGAAGTTGGCCAGTTTCAGCTCAGATTACACTTTTGAAAGCTCAACAGTTGTAAAAGCGGCAGCCGTGAAAGAGCACATGACGTCAAACAGGAAACTGGACCGGGGCCAAGGATGGAGGCCATTGAAGTACAGGGTTTTTAAAATGCATCCCATCAGGGCACATTTCTGGACAAAGTGGGTGGTTAAACCCAAGCTGGGTTTTAAAAAGGCAGCTTTTACAGACACACCCCTTCCAACCAAGTGTAGACAATTTTAGATCAAAGGCAATAATGAAACAGTTAAACATGACAGCTGTGCAGACAGGCTAATACCAGGTCTCCCTGTTAGTTTTTTATGTCACCGCGCACAACCAGGGGACACAACACGAAAACAGAGGATTAGAATTCTATCCTGCTTTCCACAAAGCTGCAGGGCTCCGAAACCACACAGCACAGCCCATTACTGAAAGGGTGTGTGCTTCACTTGAAAGGAGGCCTGGTCCCTGGCCCAGTGAGCTTGCACTCTCAATAAAGCAAGATGCAAACAGTGAGACCTAATCAAAAGAAAGAAAGAAAATGCAAGACAAGGACAAGGTTTATAAACATAAAGCTGCGTGTTGGCTTATGTCTCCACTTCTGTCTTCTTAAAGGGGCTTCACTGAATTAAAGACTTACTGCAATAGAACCTGACAATGCATCAAACTTTTTGGGGTTTTGTTTTTAAACCAAAAAAATGTAGCATGCAGGGTTGTGTGTTTTAACATACACACCGTTGTGCAACTATGAAATTTCTGTTCATGGAAAATGCCTTGCCCTCCTAGTGATTCATCTCACCTATCGGAGCTTTGCATAACAGCTTGCAGTCCGGCCCACATTGCAACCTGTGTCAGCAATACAACAGAAGCTCCTTGGAGCAGGCAAGTGCCAGCTGCTGTAGGGAAGAACTGCAGCTGACTGCCATGACAATAACTCTGTAGTGGGGGGAAAAACAAAGGGCTTGTTTAAAGCAAATAAGATGAAGGCGCACCAAGTCATGCAGTAGAAAGCAAACATCAAGACCATGGCTTATGGTCCAGGTGTCTGTGCACTGAGTGCAAGGAGAAGAAAGATGCTTGTATTTATTTATAGAGCAGGTGACATCCAATTGCTGTGCTTCTGACAACTATTACCACAACAAATAGTGCAAACATTGTTCCATTACAATACCAGGCTGACAGCCATTCCAGGATGGCAGCCGTGGTGGCATCTCAGAAATAAAAATCACTGTATGGTCTGTACTTGTAAATAAAGAGTTGCAGGCTGCAGGGGAAATCTCAATATTTTTGCACAAGTGTAGGTTAAAAAAATAGGGTCCAAAGCATGTTTATCCTCTCCCATCCCTCAAATCAGGCCAACCAAAGCCAGCTTTGTACTTAACGCTTCAGCTTCAATCTTTAATAGGCACATGCTTTTATTTGTTTCCATCACGAGTCACCCTGGGAAAGATATTGCATCAAGTTCCTTCTTTACCTTAAACTAATAATAGAAACATGTGCCTGATTCACTCACGAAATATTCGCTCATTGTGTAGGCCACGCTGGACCTTGTGCACTGGAAGGAAGAAAGGTCAGAGATGGAGATAACTGTACATACTTAACAAGGCTGCTCTAATTTTAAGTAGTGTTAATAACATGGCCCAGAAGGACAGTCGAGGATGTTTTCTTGGGGGGGGGGGAAATTTACGCCCCCAGGCTATAGATTCGGCTGAGATTTTCAAAGTTTCTTAAAACAGGAACTGCCAAGCAGGATGAGACCAGAGATCCATCTAATCCAGTCTCATCTTTGACCTCATTCAGCACTGGATGATTCAAGAGGAAGATGTGGGATAATATGATACTAAACTGCTCAAGATAGTTAAGACCAAAGCAGACTGTAACGAACGTCAAAAAGATCTCATAAAA